CGCCGCAAGAATTAAATTATGAATTTACGTCACAGACATGCTTTGCCGCTCACGCATCCAGCCGTCTCTTTTCGGGGAGGATTGTAGACCGGACTCGAGAAAGCGGCGGAAATCGAGCCTATCGTACACATGGCAATTTATGTTCGTTTGAAAACGACCACTTCATGTTCGTTTTTCAAAGAATAAAGATAAAAGATTTGTCTGTCCGCTTAATGACAATGAAAATTAGTCAATGAGCGCCCGAGAATTTCTGTCGTTATTGTAAAAAGCACTATTGCTATCATAATCAAGAGAACGTTCAAAATGTGGTCGACGAAAATACATAGGTATGTGAGGTCCGCAAAGGTATTTTGATGAGCAGGTAAACATACCTGCCATCATTGTTCTTTCCAAAAGAACGCCTGATCGCTAGTTACAAGTGTGACAAATTTGAGAGCGCCCTCTAGAATTCATCCAGGAACCGAAACAAGAATTTTGAACTGTCATTTGAACTTTCAAGCTGCCTCTCCGAGTCCTCTGTAAGCCTCGGCTGGCAAGGGAGAAGAAAAACAATCTACAATAGTTTATAACAGGCAGCCAACGCACCGCCATTTTGGAAATTCATTTTGATCTCCGTGCGAATAAAAATCATTTCTAGCAACACCAAACGTCGAAAACAAATGTTGAACTTCGTATGAAACACTTAAAAGCACTGGCGTACGTTTGCACAATTTTTCTGAACTTTGAAATCTATTTTCTCTCTCTCATTTTCGGTGTTATTTTAGGCAACTATTTATATCTTTAGCTTTAAGAAAATTTAAAACGGACTGTAAAATACTTGAAATTATTCTGGTACCAGATGTTTGTCCATTAAAAACTGAACTTGCTCGATTTCGTCTTAATTTCTACTTTGCCTCTTAGACAATTTCTCAATTTCTTTTTCTCTGGATCGTACGTTTGATGCTGTCCTGAAACGTGCTCGCGTATAATTTGGGTTAACTTGAAATAATCACAATAATGCTAGCTTATGTTGCCGACGATGAAACAAGGAATTATTCAGGGAAATTGTGGGCGGAAATTTGGTTTCGAACATCCTGTGACGTAGAGGAATGTGCGACATTTGTTTTCAAGCAGTCGGTGTGTGTGTAATTTACAGAGTTGTTGATCAGATTACTCCGGGTGAAAACTC